CCATGGGATAAACCCCAGTTCTATGGGATCAGCCCCAATCCCATGGGATAAACCCCAGTTCCATGGGATCAGCCCCAAGTTTCCCATTGGCCAGCGTGGGCTGAAGTTCCCAGGGGTTTCCTTGGAATTTGGGGCTCTGCATTCCTGGATTTCCCCAGCAGGAGGAGGAGGAGGAGGCTGGGGAGGGGACGGACGTGAAGGTGGCTGGGGAGAAAAGCCTGAGTGGCCTCATCCAGGACCTGCGGCACAGGTGGGGAATAATGGGAAAATGGGAATAACGGGAATGGGAGAATCCCACATGGGAATAATGAGAATGGGAAAATTCCAAATGGGAATCGACAGGGAAAATCCCGAATGGGAATGGGACAGGGACAATCCTGAATGGGAATGGGAATAACGGGAATGGGAAAATCCCACGTTGGAATGGGAATGGGAATATCCGGAATGGGAATGGGAATATCCCAAATGGGAATGGACAGGGAAAATCCCAAATGGGAATGGGAATAATCCCACATGGGAATAATGGGAATGGGAAAATCCCAAATGGGAATAATGGGAATAGGACAGGGAACATCCCAAATGGGAATGGGAATAACGGGAATGGGAGAATCCCACATTGGAATGGGAATGGAAAAACCCACATGGGAATGGGAATAACGGGAATGGGAATAATCCCAAATGGGAATCGACAGGGAAAATCCCAAATGGGAATGGGAATAATGGGAATGGGGAAATCCCAAATGGGAATAATGGGAATGGGACAGGAAAAATCCCACCTGGAACTGGTACTGGGAGCAGGGCAGGGTGAACCCCTGAGGGCCCAGGGCAGTCCCAGTCCCTGCTCTGGCATTCCCGGCTCTGATCCCGATCCCGCTGTTCCGCAGGCTCCCTCCCACCATGGCCAGCGAGCTGTCGGTGCCCTTGGCCTTCATCTCCCTGCTGCACCTGGCCAACGAGAAGGTGAGGGCAGGGAGAGATTCCCACCCATCCCGGCTTTTCCAGGGAATGCAGCTCTTGGGATTCCAGGGAATGCAGCTTCTCCCACCCATCCCGGCTTTTCCATGGAATGCAGCTCATTCCCAGTTTTGCCAGGGAATGGGAACATTCCCAGCCCGTGCAGGGTTTGTCCCTCAGAGCCATCCCGAGCATTCTGGACTCTGGCTAATGGAACAGAATCCCAAAATCCCACAATTCCTGAGGCTGGAAAAGCTCTCACAAAAAGTCACAACCTGCCCCATCCCCACCGAGATTCCTTCCACAGGCAGGAATTCCTTGGAATTCCTGCAGGGATGGAGACTCCAACCCATGAGGGAATTCCTGCTCTGTCCCCATTCCCTAGAAAAGCCCCTGGGCAGGGCAGGAGGGGCTGGGGTTGTTCCCAAGCCTCATCCCAGGGGATTTCATTCCAAAGCTTTTCCTTCCCATCCCCAGAACCTGGAGCTGGAGAGCACCGAGGACCTGTCGGATGTCCTGGTGAGAGGGGGGAACTGACCCTGGAGCCGCTGCAGATCCAGCAGGGAATGCTGAGAAATCCCAAAATCCCAAACCCCTGGCGAGGTTGGGATTCAGGGATGGCCTGGCTGGACAGATCCCACCAGGATCCAGCAGCTTTTCCCTGGGATTGGAAATCCCTGCACTTCACTGTGAACCCAGGCTGCTCTGTGTCCCAACATTTCCTCTGTGTATCCCAACATTTCCTGTCTATATCCCAAAATTTCCTCTCTGTATCCCAAAATTTCCTGTCTATATCCTAAAATTCTGTCTGTCCCTGTGTCCTTCCCAGTCTGTAATTCCCAGTTTTTGGATTGACTGTTAGTCCTGGCTCCCATTCCCTCCATTCTGGAATTATTCCCTTTTTCTACTGTTTTCAAGGATAATAAAGTTTGCATTTGCACACTTTGGAGAGGGGCCTGGAAGGAACAGCCCCGGAGTGGGGTGGGGGCAGCAAACGGGGACAAATCCCTGAAAAAATTGGGAATGCGGGGATCAGAGCCTGGAGCCGAATTGTGGGAACGGGATCGGTGCTGGGATCTCCTCCTGCCGGGAATTCCGTTCCTGCTTTTCCTGGGGGCGGAGCCGCAGTTCCCTCGCTATTCCCGGGATTTCTCCAGGGCATGGGAATTCCAGAGGCTGCTGCTGCTCCGGGGTTGGTGCTCCAGGGGATGATTTGATGATTTTCCAGGAATTGATGCTCCAGGCGCTGATTTTCCAGGAGCTGCTGCTCCAGGCATTGCTCTTCCAGGGGTTGATATTCCAGGGGTTGATATTCCAGGGATTGGTGCTCCAGGGGTGCTCAGCTGGCCCTGGGACCCTGAAACCCNAAGGGCTCAATCCTGGAATTCCAAGCTTTTCCTTTTCCCTGGTGTCCCTCAGCAGCCCCAGACCTGCAGAGGGATTCCCGGCAGAGGATTCCCAGGAAGGTTTTCGAGCTGGATTTCCAGAAGAACATCGACTTCCAGGCCCATTTCCAGAGGACCAAGGTGCCCACAGAGCCCTTTTCCCACGGAATTCCCGGGGGAAATTCTGGGGGACACCTCCCACCCTGCCCCTTCCCAGACAAAACACTCCCTGTTTTTCCATGGAAAACCGGTGGAGCTTCCCGTTTTTCCATGGAGCTGTCCTGTCCCCTTCTCCCAGGCATCCACAACTTTGGCCAAATCCACCCTGGAGAGCCAGAACAGCCGGAGCACCACGCTCCCTGCAGACTTCAACTACGAACCCGAGAGCCTGGGACAGCTCTTCCTCAAGCCCCACGTCCAGGTGAGAATCCCCAAAAGAATTCCAGGGAATCGTCCTGGGAATCACCCCAAGGTGTCATTGCAGGGAATCATCCCAGGAATCATTCCCAGCACCAAACCCTGGGAATGTTCTGGATGTTCTGCTCCCACCACAAACCCTCCTGGAAGGGCAGAGAGGGGGATGAAGGGCCAAGGCAGGCCCAGGCTTTTCCCTGGAATGTTTTGGAATGTTTTCCCCCAGGTCAGCCCAAGCTTGGATCCAGAGGGAGCCTTGGACAGCGAGGTTGGAATTGAGGATTACGACTACAACAACCCCAACGACACCTCCAACTTCTGCCCTGCCCTGCAGGTACAGCCGGGATTGGGGATTCCAATGGGAGAGAATCCATGGCCAGGCAGTTCCTGAGGGGAGGGATCAGAGCTGCAGGGCCCTCCTGGCGTCCAGCCCGGCCTGGACATTCCCAGGGCTGGGAAAACTTTGGGATTTCTGCTCCCTGCAGCTGCCCTGGCTTCAGCCTTGGCCCCGTTCCATGGGGGTGAACCCAAGTCCCATGGGGGTAAACCAAATTCCATGGGATAAATCCCAATCCCATGGGGGGGAACCAAGTTCCATGGGATAAATCCCAATCCCATGGGGGTAAACCAAATCCCATGGGATAAACCTCACTTCCATGGGATAAACCTAAACACCTGGGAGTAAATGGGGATAAACCAAATTCCATGGGATAAACCCCAATCCCATAGGGATAAACCCCAATCCCAAGGGGATAAACCCCAATTCCATGGGGATAACCCCAATTCCATGGGGATAACCCCAATTCCATGGGGATAACCCCAATTCCATGGGGATAAACCAAATTCCATGGGATAAATCCCTATTCCATGGGATAAACCTAAACACGTGGGAGTAAATGGGGATAAACCAAATCCCATGGGATAAATCCCAATCCCATGGGGGTAAACCAAATTCCATGGGATAAACCCCAATCCCAAGGGGATAAACCCCAATTCCATGGGAATAAACCCAATTCCATGGGAATAAACCCAATTCCATGTGGGGATAAACCCCAATTCCATGGGATAAACCAGATTCCATGGGGTAACCCCAATCCCAAGGGGATAACCCCAATCCCATGGGGATAAACCCAATTCCATGTGGGGATAACCCCAATCCCATGGGAATAAACCACAGTCTCAAGGGGATAAACTGAATTCCATGGGATAAACCAGATTTCATGAGGATAAACCCAATTCCATGGGATAAACCCCAATTCCATGAGATAAACCAGATTCCATGGGGAGAAATCCAATCCCATGGGGATAAACCAAATTCCATGGGATAAATCCCAATTCCATGGGGATAAACCAAATCCCAAGGGGATGAACCCAATCCCATGGGGATAAACCAGATTCCATGGGATAAACCCAATCCCATGGGGATAACCCCAATCCCCTGGGGAAGCCGGGCAGGAATTCCCACCCTCTGGAGCGGCTCCCGCTGCCTCTGGCTCCCCCCAGGTGACTCTGGTGTCCCCCTGTGTGCCCTGGCAGGTTCCTGACAGCGATGACGATCCCG